GGCTAAAGTGTTTATATGAATTGGCGCCCTCCCACCGGCCAAAGTCAGTGTGATTCCCGTGGGCAGATGCAACGTTCGGGCCAAGAATGTGCCAATTTGGGCCAATTTGCGCCAGACAAAAGCCAAAGAAATCATAGTTGTACTGTTCGACTCGCCAGGCTTTCCAACATAAATTAACAACTCCGTAGACTCAATCTACGTAAACAAAAATACACACATACACACCGTGACACTCATCGTCAGTAGTTGGAAAACTGACACCCTGCGCCTACCTTTGTGTGTTTGTGTGTATGTTTATGTGTATGTATGTATGTGTGTGTGTGTGTGTATGGTTGACTTAATCTCTGGCCTCAAGAGGGTAGAGGGAAAGATAAGGAAATGTGACAAATCGAGTGGCCAAAGTGAAGCCTGACAGATCCTTAGTCTCTTCGGCCGCCTAATGGACGGGGCACGCGTGTCGCCAACATCGACGTCTGGAGACGGTGTGGAGTTGACAACTGGGCAGAAGAGACGAGCCGACTCCACTTCGTCCGCCCATCAGACCGAATCTCCTCCACAGTCCAGAAGCCCAGCTTGCTCCTCCTCCCTCGGGCCAGAGGCCAGAGGGGAGGATTGAGCTTGTCCGCTGATAGGCTTGTCTGCATGTGGGCACTCACACATGGGCCAAACCACCACCTGTGAGTTGCTCTTTCTCCTCTCCTCCCGCTTGTCTGTATGGTCTTTGTCGCATCATGTGTGCATGTGTGTGTCAGTGTGAGTGTGTGTTGGCTACATCTGGACTTTCTTATTCGCTTTACTTGCCACTCCCGGTCTGTCCGTCAGGTAGATTTACTTTGTGCGCTGCCATCGTATCCCCTGCCCACTATTGAGTTGCATAATCGTCTCTCTCTCTCTCTCTCTCTATCTCTCTCTCTCGGCTGTCTGTCGGCTTGTCAGTAAAATTGGGTAGCAATGACCTCAAAGCATAAAATGCTACCTTCGAGACGAGGTCAAGTTGGCCCGGGAGGCTCAGCAGGAGGCTGCCACTGCAACTGGATGGGCGTAATAAATACAAAGAGGATCACTTGCCCCGATACGACCTGTACACGAGAATGGGTTGGAGGCTACCGATTCGTACAGCCAACTTCATCTACCACACACAAACATGAAGGAGGATGGGGAAGACAAACGATTGGTTAAGTTGAATAGTTGAATTGTATTGGGCTAAGTTGTATTTTATGCTTAAATTGACTTGATTTGTGTTGAATTGGTTTGCATTGAATTGAGTTGCATTGGTTTGACTGTATTTGGTTTGATCTGATTTGATTTGGGTTGAGTTGAGTTGCATTGGTTTTAACTTTAATTGGTTTGATTTTAGTTGAATTTTATTGGGTTAAGCTGAATTTAGTTGTATTGCCTTGACTTTAATTGATGTTATTTTAATATAATTGGGTTGGGTTGGGTTAGGTTGAGTTGAGTTGTATTGGTTTGATTTTAATTGCTTTGCTTTGAACTGAATCGGCTTGATTTGAATTGAGTTGCATTGGTTTGACCTTATTTGGTTTGATCTGATTTGATTTGTGTTGAGTTGAGCTGCATTGGTTTTAACTTTAATTGGTTTGCTTTTAGTTGAATTGTATTAGGTTAAGCTGAATTAAGTTGTATTGCCTCAACTTTAATTGATTTTATTTTAATGTAATTGGGTTGAGTTAAGTTGAGTTTAGTTGTAATGATTTGATTTAAATTGCTTTGATTTGAACTGAATCGGGTTGAGTTGAATTGTATTGAGTTAAGTTAAGTTGAATTGCGTTGAGTTGAATAGTCTTTGGTTGAGTTGAGTCAAGCTGAATTTGTTCTTATGAGTTTTTTGTCGTCTTGTCATTTTTATGTAACACCTTTAAATTGAAGAATGTTTACTCTCAGATTCTGGCTAGTTGGTTTACGGATAACTATTGCAAGCACTTAATTCATTTTCAACGGCACCCTTACACGCCTCACGAAGGACAGCGTTTTCTGCTGGAATCGTCATATTCTATACGAAGAAAAGTTGGGTTTCGAGGAATCTCTTGTTTCATAATTGTTGCGATTACTTCCATTTCGT